TCCCCTCCCCTCCCCTCCCCTCCTATAGTATGGTTTCGGTAGACCAATAATGAAATACCCTGTTTTGCAGACAAGAAGCCCGAAGCCGTGCCAGAGCCCGCAGCCCAATTTGAGTGACCAAACAGAACACCTTTCTGAAGCATCTGCTGATTCCTTGGAAGCCATGTCCGAGGGCGATTCGCCGACCCCCTTCTCGAGGGGCAGCCGCACGCGGGCCAGTCTTCCTGTGGTGCGGTCAGCAAACCAAACAAAGGAAAGATCACTGGGTAAGAGCCCTCTTCGCCTGTGCTTTCCGTTTGTGTGTTCAAAATAGTTTTGAAGTAGTTTGGGGTTAAAAAGTGAAGACTTTGGTAGCACTTTAATTTAATGTCGGTTATTCTTTGGAAATGAGCTCAGTATGGGGTACTACGTAACTTGGGGGAATGGTGGAATTATTTTCGTAAGATCTGGAAGTGTGCTGGGAACATGGTAGATAAAGAGAAAGATGCAGACCCTGACATGAAATGCTGACTAATGGTTAAAGCCCAATAATGGAAATACTTTTTGCCATGCCTGCATATTATGTGGCAGTGAAATTTAACACAAGATTGCACCCTCATTTTCAGACAGGAGGCACAGGCTTTTCCATTTTATCGTCTCTTCAAAGCCAGATCTAGTTGGAAGAAACCTCGAGATATTATTGCCTGACAGGCGCAGCTCTTTTTGAAGAGGTTTGGTATTTGTGTGGCATAGCTTCCCAGGCAGAGGATTTGAAGGGATGTGCTGACAGAGATGCCCTTTACTCCAGGGCCATGCCTTTCCATCTGCATGGTGACATGGGTGATATCTCAGCGCAGGTGGATGGCTCTACTTCCTGCGTTCTTCCCATATCTCAGGGTTGAGTTAAGCCCAGCTGTGAAATAGAGCTTATGTGTTAGTGGATTTTATCTGAGACTCTGCTCTCAGCTCATGGATGGCACAAGTAAAAATTGTTTTTTTGAAGAAAGACACCAGAGGGCAGCTGAACTGCTGTAAGAAGGTGGCGTAATTCACGTGCAGATGGCTGAGGAAGGCAGGGCTTTGCTCTGAGGTAATAAACTGAAATGCTTTTTTTCCTGTAGACTCATCTCCTAACATACAGAGTGACATAAACTGAAGGCTAGGCTGTAAATCATACCATGCTTGTAAGCTTGTCACAGTGGTTTACTCATTCCTCAACAATCTAAGACAGTTTCTGTCAAGAGTATTATGATAGCCAAGAAACACAAAAAATGAAAAGGGAACAGGGCTGGAAAGGGTCCCTGCTACACCCAGCATTGGCAAGTGTGGAGCAGTGGGGCTGGGAACAGGGGGCTGATCCCTGCCCCTGTCAGCTCATGGAGCATTGCTGGCTGCTCTCCCAAAGCCTGTTGGGCCATCAGTATGCCAGGCTTTTTGGGGAGAAATTTCGAAGACTCCAAGCTAGACAAGGTTGTTTGGTTTAGTGATGTTTCTAATAGCAGATGTGTAGCACTTGTATGGCTACTGTACCTGGAGAGAATTCATCTTTGCCTGTATGTCACTGTTTGCTAGGGTATCCTCAGAGTGTCTTGCATCACTCTCAGGTTTTCTGAAAACCATGTGTGTGCTTCACTGTGACATCAAGCGGATTGGGCCTTTGCAGATCCCTGTGTGACTTGCAGTCCAGCCTCACCACATGGGTTTCAGCTGGCAATCAGCAATTATCACAGGCCACAGAGGGTATCTCAGCTCTGAACTTCTGTTTCAGATGTGAGCTAATTCGTAAACAGGTTTTGGGAAGCTTTTTGTTGGCATCAAAGGGGGTGGCCTGCTGTGCACCAGTGCTTTGTGCAGTGTTTTCTCTCACAAAAGCTGAGCTAGAAACAGCTTTCTCACCGTCAGTGTGTATATCTGACAGGAGTACAACAGTCCTCTTTCTGGAAAAGACTTAAGTGTTCATCACTATAAATAAACTTGGTAAGGGGAGCACGGGAAGGGCTGTGCTAGATTATACCAAGAGTCCCCCTGATCCAGTATTTTGTGTTCAAGAGGGACCGTACGCAATGAGTCTAAGCAAGACTAAAAGCAGACTAAGTACATGTACGTGTAGCCCTTCCCCTAGTACTCCCCCAGTCTCAAGCTATCTTCAGCTCAGGGATTTCCTGGTTATGGTTTCTTCCTGTATAATAAGCCTTAAGGGTCATCTCCTGCAGGTATTTATGCAGTCTCCCTTTGACTCCCATGTAAATTTTTTGCATCTGCAACAGTGCAGCTGTGACTTTGGCAACAAGTTTCTGTTGGTTTACTGCCAAACATTGCCCTTCTCTTGCTTTGTGTTGTATTTGCTTATCTACTCTAAGTTATGTCCCTTTTCCTTGTATTGGAAGTGACAGTAAACATAGATAGCTATCTGCTCCCCCTTGGCCATATCTGATTTTGTGAGCCTGTCATTTTCCTCAGGTCATCTCTTCTCCAGTCTGAGAAGTGCTGCTGTAATCACTTGTTTCTCATCCAGAAACCATCCTGGACATTTGATTATCATTATTGCCCTTTGCACTTTTTCCAGTCCGACAGCATCTTGGCTGAGCTGAGAGGACCAGAAGCTCACTGGGAAGTAGTGTGCCCTAAACCCCTTTTTTGCATCTGTTGCATATACTGAAATGTGTTGTCCAGGTCCTAATGGAGGATGGTCACATGAAGCTGATCCATTTTATTTAATGGCTAGGATTTCAGGTCCTGCAAGGCGCTCTGTTGCAGCTAGTCTTCCCTAATCTAGAGGCAGACCTCTGGTTTCTCCCAGCATGAACAGGCAAAATGAGGGGTGAGGGATGATAGCAGGGAAGACAGAAATATTGTGTATCAAGCATTTCAGCTGAGTGTTTGGATTTGAGACTGGAGAAAAATAAGCCTTGTCTCTCCTGTATTGCAGGAGGAGTCACAGCTATGTGTGTGGCTTAAGGGATCATCATACTAGCCAAACAGGAGAATATGTTGTCACCACCCCACAATCTGCCATTTTCAAGTTGTTCCAGCAACTATTAACAGCAAACAGTTTGTTTTAAAAGATAGTAAAAAAAATATTCTAAAATAGTTCGGGTTTAGAGTATTCTTCAGAATGTTTCTTTTACAATAACATCTTTTTCAGTCTTTTCTGCCAGTGTGTTTTAACATTACTATGAGCAATGTTCTGAAATTTTACTTTGAGTCTCTTGGCAGACTGTGCCCCTCTTAGGATTGTTTTTACTTCCAGCGGTACAAGGGGAGTGTTTATTTTTAAAAAACAGGAAACTGTTTATAACTTCAGTTTTAAGCGTTATGAAAATATTTCTCTTCACATGATTTTAAACAAGCTATGTATAATCACCTTCCTTTCCTTCTCCATTAATTTTTTAATTAATCTAATTTAAATACAAATTATGTTTTGATATTCAGCCAACATAATTTCAATGAGGAAAATGACCGAGTTTTGTGAATTCTTAGTAATTTTACATTTAATACCTCAATGCCATTTTTAAAAAAACTTGATTTTTTTTTTTTTTAAAATTCTAATTCTTCTGCAGGTTCCTGTTTTACAAACTACAGATGAGTCAGTTTGTTTTTAAATGGTGGTCTGAATTAACGTGGAACCTGAGGATGAATAGCAGTAATGCATTTTGGCTACCCCGACATCATTGTTTTGTCAGTCAGGACTAATCTAATAGGACATGGTATTCTGACTAATCTAATAGGACATGGTATTCATGGGGAGGTGACCCAGAAAATAAAATTTCAGTTGTGGGCCCTTGTAAAATTTCAGTTACAGCTTTCAAAATGAAGGTCTTAGTGAAGAGGTCCATCAGAAATCAGCACTTGTCTCATCTGCCTGCACTCTGGAGACAAGGTGATATATTAAAATAAAGTAATTCACCATGGAAGAGAAAAATTAAATATATTTTAAAATATGTATTCAGAAGCTGAGAGTTTTTCCAGTGCAATAACTGTGAGAAAAAAAAATTACCTAGCAAAACTGTCAGAGAGAGAATCAGCTGAAATCTGGAAAGTACTCAAAAGCTTTCAACAAACTTCACTTGCAATTTGCCTGGAGGAAGGAGAAGCTGACAAGCACCCAGGAAGGTTATGCCAGCAGCCAGCCTGTGCCTGTGCTGCATCTTGAGGCTGTCACTGCTGGGGTACCTCCATGACGAAATGAAGACTGACAGATATTTTCACTTACAGTCTCTCATGTGGCACATGTGTACAAACTGTGGGCCTGATCCTTCTTGTAAGGGCAGGCACTGGCACCCTGGCTGAGCAGTCGGGGCGGTCGATGGGATGGGGCACAGCCCCGAAGGGCAGGGTGGGGTTACAACCTCTCATTGCAGTAACAGTCACAGATGCTCCCACAGGATTGGGCTGTACACACAGGGTTTGGCCGAGGGATAACATGGTTCAGGGAGGGATTCCATAAATGCACAGGGATGTGGGTTTGAGAAGTCACTGAGGAGATGGGGCTTTATGGCTTAAGGGTTGCAGGCACCTTCTCTGGATGTCCCAGCCAGGACACCTGGCCACTCCAGTCCAGATGAATAAAGAGCAGTGGATGATAGGGCTCCTTGCTGATAAATCTGTGCCTAAAATTAGCATGGAAAGGCCCCTGCAGAAATGTCTGATCCTGCCAACATTTGCATTTTATTTGCCTTTGGAGGATTACTTACAGGAATAAAATTACACTAAACACTTAAGGACTGGCATGGGGAAAGTCTTAAACAGTCATGGAATATTCTGAATACTATTTGTTAACCTCCCAGTCCAGAGTTTTAGCAGACACAGCCTTTGGTGTCTGATCAATTAGTGTGCTGCCACCTTCAATGGAAATGCTGTTACTGATCATAACAGTAACACTTGGATCTTTTGTAACATTTCTTGCAGGTGTTTCTCAAAGTGTGTTAAAAAGAAAGTCAGGGCCATAGTTTCAGTTTTAGACATAGGAGAACTTCAGTGGAGAGAGGGATAATAACTTGGTTGCTGTCATCCAGTGGCAGAGGTAACTTGCTATACAAGTATAGGCAATGTATTGTAAGATGTTACACAGAAAATATAAATGCTAAAGGTAGACATATTGGTGGTACTTGTTATTTACAATTTATGAGCTAGAAATTAAAGGAGGCTTGTTAAATCAGGCAGAAGATGTGTGAACAACCGTAGACTTTATAAAAGAAGCCTGTCTGATTTTTTTTTTAGCAGTGGCACTGCCCTCTCTGATTCCTTAGGGCATGATTCAAACCTAATGAAGTCAGCAAGATCTTCA